GACATGCACATTTTCAGTTTTTGCTGGGTGAATAATCAACGCACCTCAGTATGGATGATTCAAATTGGAATCTAGAGAGTCATATTCAGCTGAAAAGGCACTAGGATTTTACTATAACTTTTTAGTATCTGCATTGCACATCTTACAAATTCTTTCAGCTTATAATATATGTAATTATAGTTCTTACCAACTGTAACTTAATACATTATTCATATAAAACACCATAAGACTGCTTCTACTTAAATTTTTTCATGGCTGGGCACTGGTGGCTCATGCCTATAATCCTAGCTACTCAGGAGGCAGAGATTAGGAGGATCGTGGTTCAAAGCCAGCCCGGACAAATAATTCGCGAGACCCTATCTCAAAAATACCCGCCGCAAAAAGGGCTGATGGAGTGGCTCACGATGTAGACCCTGAGTTCAAGCCCCAGTACTGCAAAAACAAAAAACAAACATAAATTCTTTCATTATGTGTAGGAAAAAAAAGTAAAAAAAACCAAAAACTGGTTTCTCTCTCCAGAAATTCAGGATCATCCATTAAGTTGTTTCCTGATTTCACTCCTCAGGAGTTCCTGACACTTACATAGGCCTAGCGTTCCTGGGAAGCTCTTCCCCCACACCTCCCATACTTGTTATTACACACAGACTTACATCCAGGTTTCCAACTTCTCTGCTGGGCTGTGTACGTATATTTTGCTTGTCCCTCTAATATTTAACCAACTGCAACTGACTTTTTTTTTGGTGGGATGGTGGTACTAGGGTTTGAACTCAGGGTCTCGTGTTTGCTTAGCAAGCACTCTACTACTTGAGCCACCTCTCTAGCCTTTTTAGCTTTAGTTTATTTTTTGGATAGGGTCTTAATGCTTTTGCCTTGGATCTGGGCTTGGATCCTTGTTTGTTTGTTTGTTTGTTTAATCCTCAGCCTTTGCATCTTGAAGTGCTTTCCTCATGATTTTCTCGTGACTGTTCCAGAGTTTTAGGTGTGACATTAAGGTCTTTGATACATTTTGAATTGACTTTGGTACTGAATGAGAGACAGAGATCTAGTTTCAGTCTTCTACATGTGGATATCCAATTTTCCCAGCACCATTTGTTGAAGAGGCTGTTTAATCTATAACATTTTTTGTCTTTGTCAGGATTAAGATGGGTTTATTTCTGGGTCCTGTATTCTGTTCCATTGGTCTAGGGCCTGTTTTTATGCCTGTGGCTCTGTAGTATAATATGAAATCAGGTAGTGTGATACCTCCAACATTGCTTTTTTTGCTCAAGATTGATTTGACTCTTCAGGGTCTTTTGCTCTTCCATATGAATTTTTTGGATTTTGTTTTCTATTTCTTTTCAAAAATAATTATTTTATCACTTTTACATTTACTTACATATGTATACATTATTTAGGCCACTTCCCCCCCACTGTGTTTTCTGTTTCTGAAGAATGTCATTGGAATTTTTATGGGAATTGCATTGAATGGGTAGGTTGTTTCTGGTAGTATAACCTTTTCATTATATTCATTCTGCTGCTGCATGAACACGGGAGGTCTTTCCATCTTCTAGTGTCTTCTTCAATTTCTTTCTTCAGTGTTTTAGTAGTTTTCATTGTACAGGTCTTTGGCCACCTTGATTAGATTTATTCCTAGGTATTTTATTTTGTTTTTTGTTGCTATTGTGAATGGGATTGTTTTCTTGACTCTTTATTAGCATGAGAAAAGCTATTGATTTTTTTTTGGTGGTACTGGGGCTTGAACTCAGGCCTTCAGCTTGCTAGGCAAGTACTTTACCACTTGAGCCACTCCACCAGCCCTTACTGATTTTTGTATGTAAGTTTTTTGGGTTTTTTTTGGTCCCACTTTGCTGAACGTTTATTAGCTCTAAGAGTTTTGGGAGCAGTATTTTAAGTATATTGTCTGCAAATAGAGGTAATTTGACTTCTTTCTTATTTGTAAGGCCAGGTATGGTGAAGCATGCATGTAATCTCAGCTACCTGGGAGGCAGAGGTAGGAGGTTCATCAGTTCTAGGCTAGCCTGGGCAAAGTTAGCACGACCCCATCTCAAAAACCAAATCCAATCAGAAGGGGTGTGGCTCAAGTGGTAGAGTGCTTGTCTAGCATGGGTGAGACCCAGTACCTCAGAAAACAAACAACAACAAAAAATAAAAAACCCAAAGTCTTTCTTGTTTATATCTGGCCTTTTTCTTGCCTTATTGCTGTAAGAATTCAAGTGGAGAGAGTAGACATCCTTGTCTTGTTCCTGATTTTTAGAGGAAATGCTTTCAGTTTTTCCAGCATTATGTTGCCTATAGGTTTGTGGTACATTGCCTTTTTTATGTTGAGGTGTATTATTTCTGTTTTTCATTTCTTCAAGGCTTTTATCAAGAATGAATGTTGAATTTTGTCAAAGGCCTTTTCAGTGGTTTTTGTCCTTGATTCTGTGTAGGTATTGTATTACATTTACTCATTTGTGCATGTTGAACCATCTTTGCTTTCCTGGAATGTGTGAGAAAGCAGTTTTTTCTATCTCTGTGTGTCGCCATTTTCATTGCCTGTATTGTCTGCAGTTCCGGGTTCTTATTTTGGATTCTTGGCTGAGCCTCTTTGCCTGTGAAAATTGCTGGTGCACCACACTGTGTATCTTAACCCCTGCCCCAAGTTAGTATAGAATTTCAGCCCATTGAGAAGATTGTAAACTTTTGATCTGGACCAATCCAGGTCAAGAGGCAGGGCCAGTCGTGTCAGGAATATAAGGAGGGACAGACTGCCTGCCCCTTGTGTACATGCTGTTCCTATGTGCCTGCACACTCTTCTGCAGAAGTAAATTTTGCCTTTCTGTGTCTTCAGTTATGATCCTGGTGGTCTTCGGGGGTCTTATTTGTAACAAATAAAAGCAACTTGATCATGGCATCTGGTCTTTTTAATGTATTGTTGAATTGAGTTTGCAAGTATTTTATTCTTTTTTATTTTTTATTCTATTTTACTCTGTGTTCAACAAGGAAATTTATCTGTAGGGTTTTTTGTTGTTTTGTTGTGTCCTTATCCAGTTTTGGTGTTAGGGTATTCTTGGCTTTATAGAATGAGTTTGGTAGTGTTTCTTTCTTTTCTATTTTATGGAACAGTTTGAGGAGCTTTGGTGGTGTTAGTTGTTCTTTAAGGGTCTGGTGAAATTCACCAGTGAATTTATCTGGTTTTGAGCTTTTCTTTTTTGGGAGACTTTTACTTGCTTCAATCTCATTGCTTGTTATAGGCCAGTTTAAGTTATTTATATTTTGTTGGTTCTAGTTTGAAAGGTCATATCTGTGTAGAAGTTTATCTATTCTAGATTTTCCAATTTATTGGAATTGTTTTAAAAATATTCCCTAATGTCCCTAGTGACCCACTGGATTTCAGTGGTATATGTGGTATCCCCTTTTTCTTCTCTAACTCCACCCCCCAACGTTGTGGTCAAACCCAGGGCCTTGGACATGCTACTCGAGCACTTTACTACTGAGCCACATCCCCAATTCTTTCTCTAATTATTAATTTGTGTCAGACATTTAATTTTGATGAACTTCAATTTATTTTTTCTCTGGTTGCTTGTGCTTTGGGTGTCATATTAAACCAATGTCTAATTCAAGGTCATGAAGACATATTCCAACGTTTTCTTCTAAAGAGTTTTATAGTTTTAGCTCTTCGGTTTCCATCTTTGATCTGTTTTAAGTGAGTTTAATACAAGATGTGAGGTAGGTGCCCAGATCCAGTCTTCTGCATGTGGAAGTCCATTTGTCCAATAGCATCTGTTAAGAAGACTGTTCTTTCTCCCTTGAATTGTCCTGGCACCCTTGTTGAGGATCACCTGGCCGTAAAGGTTAGGGAATATTTTGTGGATTATCAGTTCTGCTGTATTGATCTATACGTCTGTCCTAATGCTGGTAACACACTGTCCTGATTTATTGGAGCTGTGTATTAAGAACATAGAAGTGTGAGTCCTCTGCTTTGGTCTTCCTTTTCCAAATTGTTTTTGGCTGTTTTGGCCCTTTGAATTTTCATGTGAACTTTATAAGCTTGAAGAAGCTTAAAAGCTTGGTGTTTTTCTACAAAAAAGAAAAAAAATGCCAGTGGGGAATTTGATCAAGGCTACATTGAGTCTATAGATCAGGTTAGGGAGTTCTGAGGTCTGCATGTTTTTGTTTCCCAAATAAATATATTGATATGCTAACTTTCAAATTGATACTGTAAGAAAGTGAGGCCTTTAGGAGGTGGTTAGGTCATGAACAGGTTTAATGGCCTTATAAAAGAGGCCTGCAAGAAACTTCTTTCCCCTTACCTTGTGTGAGCATGTAAGGAAAAGAAGATTATTGTCAGTACTGTTGATTGAACTCAGGGCATACACCTTGAACCACTCCACCAGCCCTTTTTTTGTGATAAGGTTTATTCGAGATAGGATCTCATAAACTGTTTGTCCAGGGCTGTCATAAACTCTTTGCCCAGGGCTGGCTTCTAACGGTGATCCTCCTGATCTCTGCTTCCTGAGTAGCTAGGATTGCAGATACGAGCCACCAGTACCCTGTGTGTTGGGTGTTTTTGAGATAGGGTCTCACAAAGTATTTGCCCTGGCTGGCTTGGAACCAACTGGGATTATATTTGTGAGCCACCACGCTCGGCTCTTTTTTTTTAATTGGCAGAACTGGGGGTGGAACTCAGGGTCTTGCACTTGCTAAGCTGGCCCTTTACCACTTGAGCCACTCCACTAGCCAAGAAAGTGTTCTTTTATTTCTGTACCTCACCTCCAAATTCTTATCTCTTCCCCAGAAAGACTTCTGTTGTATACTTGACATATATAATGGATCTACGTGCTGTTGTTTTTGTACAGACAGTGCCCCAGCTTAATGATAGTTGAATTTAATGATTTTTCAACTTTAGCATTCAGTAGAAACTATACTTCAGATTTTGAGTTTTGGTCTTTTCTCCAGGTAGTAAAATGCAGTCTGATACTCTTCATGCTGGGCAGTGGCAGTCCGCCATAGCCCCGGGTCAGCCATGCAACTCTGAGGGTGAGTGGTCCACACACTTGTGTTATGCATTTTTATTTTTCCAGTAATACTGGGGGTTGGGCTCAGGACCTTGTGCTTGCTTCACCACTTGAGCTATGTCCCCAGCCCGAGTAGTTTACTTGGACTATTTTCAACTTAGTGATGGGTTTAGTGGAACATAACTACATCATATATAAGTTCAGAAACATCTGTATTTGCTTTTAATGTGATTAAATCATCCTGTGTGCATTGATTAAAATTTGAATGGAAAGCTGGTGAGAGAGGTGAGCCAAGCACCTGGGGAAAGTACTCTAGGCAGGAGCAGCCGTAAGACACAGGCCATAGTCCATCGAGGAGACACCTGTCCCTAGAGGTGAGGGTGGCAGGTCAGGGTTCTGGCAGGCAGAAGACAAACACAGGGTAGGACTTTCTCGCTCTTGGAAAGAGCTTGGCTTTTATCCAGAGTATGATGGGAAGCAATTAGAATGTTTTGAACAGAGGAATGATGTGTGATTTGACAGATTTTAATGGATTGATGTGGCTGCTGTGTTGAGACTGAAGGTCTCTGGGAGAGTCAAGAAGATGTGAGGGGCATGAGACCAAAGGGCAGTGAGAGGTGGTGGTGAGAGGCACCGGATGTCCTGTGTTTGTGTCTTGGTTTGCTGGGGATGTGATGAAAGTAAGGAATCAAGGTGGGCTTATGCATTTGCTTTTATTTCACAGTATTTCTTAAAGTTCTTTCCATGCCAACACATAGGAGATGTGTGTTGTGGACTGTTGCATAATGCACATTTGCTGGGAGTGGAGGACTAACTGTGATTTTGGCACTCACTGGTGTCAATCACATGTCTGTTTTGCTGTTACAATAGTACTGCTGTGGGTTCACTTCCCCTGCCTCCATGTGCAATTGTTCATGAGTTTTCCAGGTGAATCCCTCAGGTGAAGGTGCTGGATTATGCAGAATATGCTCATTTCAAAACTATTCTAAGGTTATGGTAAGATATCTATCATAAATTTCCCATCTTAACCATTTTAGGTGCACTTAACCATATTGTAAGTATATTCCTATTGTGCAGCCATCACCAGCATCCATCTACAAATGTTTTTACCTTCCCATCTGAAACTCTAGCCCCAGTAATCACTAAGCAGTGCCATTCTACTTTTTGTTTCTGTGAACTTGACCCCTTTAATGGACCTCATTTAAATGGATTGTACAGTATTTATCTTTCACTCAACATAGTGCCCTTAAGATTTGTCTGTGTTGTAACATATTACAAAATGTCCTTTTTTAGGCGGAACATTCCATTTTGTGAATTTACCACATTGCATTTATTTCCTCATCTGTGATGGATGCTCAGGTTACTTCCCATCTCTTGGCTGTTTGAATAATGGTGCTATGTACGTAAGTGCATAAAAAACCTCTTTCAGACCTTCTTTCAATTGCTGGATCCCATGGCCATTCTTTTCCCACTGTGCCTCCTGTTCTAGTACCAACAGTCCATGGGCACAGAGGCCAGGCAATGATGCATAGCCACAGTTTGCTCTGTCAGAGGGCACTGGATGGGCCCACAGGTCTGGCTGGCAGTTGTTTTTATTGTTTTGAGGAACTGCCATACTGTTTTCTGTAGGGATGGTGCAATTTTCCATTCTTACTAGCAGTGTTCAAGAGTTCCAATTTCCCCACACCCTTGTCAACACTTGGTATCATCCATCTTTGTTATTATAGCTGTCCTGATGGGTTTGCCTTGGTGTTGCATTGTGCTGCTGGGGACTGGCTCCCTCTTGTCTGTAGCCCTGTCCTCTCCATTTGGACCATGTGCTGTGCTTCCTGGCTCTGGTTATTTTGTTCCCATTCTCCTTAAATTCAGGAGCTTTTAAAATTGTTCTCTTTCTCTAAAATATAAATGGAGCACAGTTTACTAAAAATTCTCAGGAAATTGCTGATTCTATTGAAGTGAAAAATAGAAGTAATTAATGAGAAGGTTGACTTGAAAGAATTTGGAAATGGCATAAAATGAGAATCATGCAAAACACCAGCAGCCTGTCTTGGTCAAGGTGCCAGAACATTGTCAGGGAAGGAACCCTGTACTAGCACTCAAAGAATATTTGAATGTACCTTTAGGTATTTCTAATAGTCTTGTCATTATGGTTTTTTGTTTGTTTGTTTGGCTTTTTTTCTGTCAACTTTTTCTTTCTACTTTAGAAAGAAATTCTTAAAACTGTAAAAAGCAAAAGGATATTCTTAGGCAGATGTGTCTTTTGTATGTGGGAAAGACTCAGACACTCTTGTATGTTGACAGGAGTATGATATGGGAGAGAGAGGAGTGAATCTCAGGCATGTTCTCCTTGGCTAAGTGGCTAAGCCCCATTGTATTATCCCCTGTTCTTGAGGCCTTTGCATGTTGTTTTGGGACTGTGGGGAGTAGAGATGACATCAGGGCTGGTTGATGAGGGAATGGACACAGGCCAGCAGAGCAAGGGCATGGGTGCCTTTCAGAAAAAAGGGATATGGTGATGTAGACACATGGAAGGCCTTAAGAAAAGTCAGAAGTCATAGGGTCCCAGGTGGATGTGGTCAGAGATTGTCCTCGACATCATAAATGGTTGGATTATTTCTTTGGAATGTACCCTTTAGAAAACAGACATCCAACACCTTTTTTAAAACATAACACTTACAAGGTTTTTAAAGAGGAAAATAGTGCCGTGTACTTGTTTAGTCCTGGAACTTGTGAGACTAAAGCAGGAGAATTGCTTGAACCTAGAGAAAAGCCTGAGATCCAATATAAAAGTAAGATAAAATAGAAAGAAGAGGTTAATGACTGAGAGAGTCGAGCTTTCACATTTAGTTGGGAGAGATACAACAAGGACCACATGGCAAAATGAGGCCATACTCCAGAGACTGGACTTGATTTTGAGCAATTTTTTTTTTTTTTTTTCTTTTTTCTTTTTTTCAATTCCGGTGTTTGAATTCAGGTCCTCATGCTTCCTAGGCAGGTGCTCTACTACTTGAGCCACTCAGCCAGCTCTTTGTGTTGGGTATTTTTGAGATAGGGTCTCATACTATTTGCTCTGACTGGCTTTGAACCACGATCTTCTTGATATCTACCTCCTGAGTATCTAGGATTACAGGCGTGATCCACCAATTCCCAGCTTGAGCAATTCAGTTTGGGGGATGATTAATAAGAAGGGGTTCATGTCTGGCATATGGCACATATTAAAATTGTTTTAATTTTATGTTTATTAACTATATTGAGAAATAATAATAGCTGATGTCTGTTGAAAGCTTGTGTATCACATACAGTTCTAAGCATTCTGTAGTCTCATTGTAGTCCTCTGTGCTAAGTTTTGTATAGTTAGTGATTCCCATCTTACTGAAGAGAAAATGGGAGGTTAAGTAACCTCTAAGACCTGAGAGTTGAACCTAGCCAGTCTGATTTGAGAGCCCTGGCTTTCTCATCTGTCATGTTGGTGGCAGATTTCTAGTAACAAGCCATGCAATGCAGTGTGCAAAGTCAGGTTGACAAGGGGCCTGGTGTAGCCAGGTGTGCAGTTTGTCAGTGGTTATCACTTTCCTTTTGATGAAAAAGGCCACATATATATGTTCTGTGTTTTAGATCTAGTTTTTAATTAAAATTTTTATGAAAAATTCAATTTTAACAATGTATGAAAATAGATAGCTTAAAATTGCATGATAGTTGAAGTATTTTGCTCAGTACTATCCCTATCTTCTTTCTTCTGGACCCTTTTTTGTGTTGTTCAAGTAACTTATATCATAGACACCATGAAATTTTCACCTTTAAATTCTTAGTACTTATCCTTATTGAGTTTTGGCTGGATGCTATGGCTTACACCTGTAATCCTGGCTACTCGGGAGACGGAGAGCATGAGGATTGTGGTTTGAGGCCAGTCCAGACAAACAGCGAGACCCTATTTCAATCAATAAAAACTGGATGCACTGGCTTGCTCTGTAATCCAGCTATGTTGAAAGCACAAATAGGAGGGCTGGGGTCCAGGCTCACTCGTCATAAAAGTGAAAGTCTATGCAAAGCATAGCTGAAGCAAAAAGGGCTGGAGGTGTGCCTCAAGTACCTGTCTAGCAAGTGCAAGGCTCTGAGTTTAATCTCTGCTACTGGCAAAAAATAAAAAACAGACTTAAAAAAGTCAAACCACAATCCCATGTTCACATTTAGTAAAATTAACAATAATTTATTGGTATCAACTAATACTTTCAGGTCTCCTCTGCCTATCAGCAGCCCAGCCCAACAACCCAGTGATGAGACACGCCCTCACACCACATATGCTAGAGGTAGGAGCTATCTTACAGGAGGCTGGCTGCAGTGACTGGGCAGAGGCCCTCTGTGATCCCACTGCAAAGCAGGCAGTCAGCCTGGCAGGTCTTGAAACTTAATTGTGTCCACAAACCAAATTTTGGTCATTGTACTGTCCACACTCGAGACTGGCATATAAACTCGAAAATCAGCATACTATTGGTGGCAGGAAATATGTGCCATTGTCTTCATGTAGCCGATCTACATGGAAAGTCAAACTAAGAGGTGTTTGACCCAACTCCCTGCTTCATGCCCTTGTAACAAATACTGACTGACCCAGCAGTCACCAGTTGTGCTGGAGTTTGTTCTGGCCATGACTGGCCTTGTTTTTTGTTTCCCCAGTGGGGAATGGAAACAGAAGGGTTTGGGTTGGAAAAGGCTCCAGCCTGTGCACTTAAATCACTTGCTCCCACCCTGTGCCCACCCTTTCTCAGCACGTGATAGGTTTGCATGTTTGTATGTACTTAGTTTGCTGTCTTCTCTTTAGGTCAAATTCCCTGAGAGTATAGAGGGCTGTTTAGCCTGGACCTTAGTGGCCAGTGCATAGAGCCTGGATTGTTCAGTGAATTCTGTGTTATAGCCTCTCCTGGGAGCATAGATGGCTTTTTGGCTTCCCTCTCACATGGTAGGCATTGGTTTTGGCTAGCAGAAGGAAGATTGTGACATAATACACTGCCCGGTGACTTAGTGGTT